GCTCCAGGGTGCCTCTCAATTTCATCAGATGTATTTTATGTGATACCAGATCAACAATCAGTAAAAACATTCTTTCCTTAGCCTAATCTAGGCTTGCAAGTTATTAGAAAGACTTTCAGGAGCCAAGGCATAAAAAGATGCAGTTAATATGTTTATTAAAAGAAAACATTTCTAAAATGGCAGAAAATAATTATGTATGGAAAAAGAGATGGAGCCTACATGCTACATGCCATTTTGTAGTGTTTACATTTAGCAGTGAGCGCTGGGGACATCGAGTTGGAGAGCCCACACCTCCAGCCATGATGCAGACTACCAGGCTGCTTTGACGACGATGTCATATTCAAGTGTATGGGCCTCTACGAGCGACCAGGATAGGGGGCACCTGGAGGCATTGCTGTGCTATTTTTGAAGGCATCATCACCAAAGGCTGCTTTGGGCAGCAGCAGCTCCAGGGACCCCACAGCCATGCCGCTGAGAGCGTCTCACAGCAAAGCAACAGGACTCTGAGCTGAGAGGCCTCTTTATCTGGCAGCTGAGGCAAAGGGGGAGCAGTGACAAGAGGTGATTCCCTCTTTGCAATGTGAAGTAATCCCAAGCTTAACCCCTTCCCCACTTCCCCATGCCTTCCCACAGCTTCCACAAGGCAGAGCATATTTAGGGGTAAGGCAGATGCAATGTTTTAATCAGAGAAGAAGATAAGTACTAGAGGAAGCATCTTGCTTGCTGAAATGAATTAAAAGAGCTCTAAAACTTCACTAAAAATCATTCTGTGGCAAGCTTGTAGGGTCACCATTGCACAAATGCACTAGTGCTCTTAAGAAAATAACGTCGCCACTAGTGCCGTAGTTCATGGCATATGCCAAAAGCAGGCATAGATATACTGGCCCTCCAAAGAGGATGCTGCACACATGGTACAACCTCCAGGGCCATGTCAGAGCTTAGGCCAACTTCTCGCACCAGAAGGCAGCAGCTCAAGTGGGCTCAGAGGACCCCTGCGCTGTCAGAGCAGCCAGAGAGCTGGGTGGGCGCTGGAAACAACTGACCAGCCCCTGAACCTCTAATAGGGCTGGAGAGGACACGGCCACAGGACTGAAGCAGTCCTTTGAGATGGGCCTTGAACATCACTCCAGCAAAGGCGTAGATCACGGGGTTCAGGCAGCAGTGGATGAAGGAGATAGTTTCCGTCAGCTGCAGGGCCACGGCTATCTGGTAGCTCGTCTTGCAGTCATCAATGATGTGCAGGCTCTGCAGGGAGTCTAGGAACAGTGCGATGTTGAAGGGAGCCCAGAAAAGGAAGAAAACAATAACAATGATGAAAATCATCTTGATCGCCTTCATCTTGTTTCGATTTTTGCATTTTTGCAGGTTTTTCAGTATCTGGGCATAGCAGCAAATGAGGATGCTAAGAGGAATCAAGAGGCCTAAGATATTGACTGTGAACTGAGAAGCAACCTTCCAGGTGTTGTTGCCTGGTGGGTATGTGGAGACACACTGCACAGACTGCTCGATTTCCAGCTGCTGGTTGAACATGATGTTGGGTACAGAAGCCAAGCCAGCCACCAGCCACAGGATTAAACTGATAATTATGCCACAAGAGGCTGTCCGTATCCTCACAGCATAGACAGCATGGACAATTGCTATATACCTGTCTATGCTCATGAGAGTTATAAAGAAAATACTGCTATAAAAACCTGTGTAATAAATGCCAGCCATTATCTTGCACATAGCATTGCCAAAAACCCACTGGTCTGAAGCGTAGTGGGCTTGGAAAGGGAGAGGCACAACAAAGAGGAGATCGGAAGCTGCAAGGTTCA